CTTTTGGGTGTTTTTATATATCACAAAAAATTGAAAATAAACCAAAGATCACAAGACAGAATAACTGAAAACTAAAACAGCAGAACCATAACAACATGATAGTCTTTGTCATTCGAACATTTGAGAGTCAGTCAATTTAAAAGATTCTGAAAGGAACAGTCAGCCAATAGTCTTCCACAGTGATATAAGATTATTTTTTCCCCTTTAAAAAAAAAGCATTATTTTAAAGCATTATATTATACTTAGTTTGGTTAACTTTGGATATTAAAGGTCGTTGATGATCTAAAGTAACAGTTTGAAAAAAGGTTCAAACAAAATAAATCTCTAAGGGTCTTTTTAAGTTTAGTGGTGCAAAATAATCTTTTGTTCATACCCCATTTTCAGGAAACTTTTAGAGTATAAATCTGTATTTCCAAGTACATCTATATGTTTGATGCCAGGCTGTTGGCAGAGTCGACTCGCCCCCTGTTGTTGCCAGAGTGGCAGACAGTAAGAGGTAGAGACAGACTCGGCCTGACATATGCTGGCTTAAAGGAGACGACAGCTCTTGCACTGAGCCCCAAACTGCTGGTGCTGTACGCAGCGTGTAGCTGCAGGGCTGTTCAGTGAGAATGGCAAGACGTTGCACTGGGTAATTTTCAGCCTCACTTTGACGAAGCAAAGTAGCTTATGTAAGATTTGACTTCCTTAGTGAGATCAAGCAAATACCCTCCAAGGTCCTTTACAGCATGTGTTGATAAATGTGCTGCTTAATAGCAGCCCGCACTGTAAATCTAAGCATCAGCACCACATATATTGGCCTTTGTCAGTTTCTCCTAGGCTGCGTCGAAGCCTGTCAGTGAAGTCGAGGATGCAAAAGTAGCAGGACTGAGAAGAAGTGTTGCATACACATGAACTGCAGTTAGTTCACAGCATGGACTCCTGCTCCTCCAAGTAGCACTAACTGCAACAAGATCATTTATCTAGACAGTCTATAGCTGTACAGCTCTGAGTAGCAAAGCCAGATCAGCACCAGAACTCACAATGGAGTAAATTAGAGCAATAGGTGTGCAGAAATCAGCACTGTACCTATAACTAAAAATTATCTGCAATCATGTGAAGAAATTAGGAAACCCTGTTAAATACTTGGTTTAACGTGAAGAATTTTATTTTTTTTTTTACTGCCTAAAAAGAAAATAAGTTATCATCATGTTCATATGATGATAACTTACATACTTCTACAGATTATGAGATCGATCTGAGGAAAGTTTGACCCACTCCTCACTTTCATTTCGGATATTTTTAAGAGGTTCATGCATGAACCGGATGTTTCAGATCACCCTGCAGCATTTGAGTGAGATCAGGATGTGACCTTTTAATTGGCCACTGTGGACTCATTTGGCAGATTTAATTGTATGTTTGTGACCATCGTCACGTTGCAGCATCCGGTTCTGCTTTAGCCTGAATTTCTTTTTAATAGATTAACTCACATTTTCCTAACTGAATCAAGTGATTCTGCCTGCAGCAAAGTAAACCATGACACATCGACCCTCATGCTTTGTAATGTAGTTAGTACGACATTTTTTTTTTTTTTTTTTGGTCTGGATTAAAATGTTCAGTTTTGGACTCCTTTGGTCACAGACACAGAGCCAGAAATCTCAGTCTTTCTTTATGTTATTTCTTTCAAGTTTTACTCTCCCAGAAAAATACATCTTTCTGTTTGCACACCTTTTATTAATGTTAAAGTTAAAAATTATCTTTGTGTTTGCACAAATATACATGTTATTATCAGCAGTACAAAGACCCTGCTGTAGGTCTAGTGCAGACAATGTAGAGGCTTTTTTAGAGCTGCTGTTTTGACGGTTCTCTTACAGACTATTTAACATACTTTGAATGGGTGGTTTCAAATTTTCTTAAGAACTCTAGTAATCCCTTATCAGCCTCTTACGCTGCCTCAGTCCTCTGTCTGCAGTCTGGTAGGTCCTGTAGCTTAGCTCAGCAATCTACACCTAAATAAATGTATTAGATTCAAGTAGAACAACCCTCATTCACTTCATATGATATACAGTAGAAGCCATTCAAGATTTCCCCACTTTCCTTGATGGCCCCTTGGCTGGTCCCCTGCAATACCTTTTTAAACATCAATCTTTGTACTAAAATATTCTTTCTGTCATGATTTGTTGACATTAAGATCTAAAGAGAAGCATCATCTCCTGGTCAGACCCTGTAATTCAGTGAAAAGGTGGAGTCAGAGCAAAAAATGCAGGCTGAGAAGGCCAGTGGTTGGAAGTTGGAGGGATTTTGCTGCCATTCGGCTGGCATTCCACTGGGAAGGGCCATTTTGAATGGCTGCTACTCTAATTTACATTTAAAATGGAAATAATTATAGGATTTTTCCAATTAGTATGCATTAGATGTTTTCATTTGCTTCATTTTAATGGTTTAAATTACTAAGCCTGTGTTGTTGAAACTGCTACAGAAAAACACAAAGGTTTGCAGAGGGTGTCCTGATTTTTCAGTATGACTGTATATACATATTATTTAAAACATCTCTGTCATATCTTTCTCCAACTCTTGCATAGCAACTGCTGCAGCCGCAGGGTCAAGTTTATCTCTAAGAGTGAATAATTCTTTCTTCCATAAAAAGAGGTTTTTCTTCTTTCTTTTCATTATTAACAGTCTCTTTCATGAGGAGCTACAAGGCCACCTCCTACAAACAGACTCTCTGTCCCCTTGAAGCTCCTTTTGAAGGGTTTTCTATGATGGATCTAGTTGGATGACGTAGATTCGGGGATCATTATGTGCCCTGGAGGAACCATTTCTTAAGAATGCAGCTGCAGTTTTTGTTTCCTCTTTAATCCTTTTCTTCTGCTCCAACTTCAGAAAAATGATGAAGAAACAAAAAAGTCAAGCTGTTAACAGCCAGTGCCATCATGTATGACCATTTCTCACATCACTTTGAATTACATTTATAAATATTAGACGAAATGAAGGAACTGCTCCTTGTTTCATATTTTACATTTCTGCTTGTATCTTGCCTTCTGTGGCCCCACATCTATGTCTTTAACTCTATACCACATGAAATTCTTTAAGGGGACTTCTTTTGTGTCACAGCTGCTAAAAGAACATTACCAATAATACACAGACATAGACCAATAAAACACTTCCTTTTAAGGAATGTGAGATAACACTATGATTACTAGATGAAAAAAGTAGTTGTTTAGCTTAATGGTTTTATTTTCTTGTGTATCAGATCTATAGTAAAGATGAATATAATGCAAAGTATTCATTATTTGTAAAGAAATATATATCTATATAGATATATATGGATATAAATACATAAATAATATATGTTTCTTTGAAAGAAAACTTTTTTTCTGCTTTTTCCTGTCCTTGTTTCTTTTTACTTTTATTTTCTTATTTTATAAGCAGATACAGTGGCATGTAATACACTGATTTTGAATGTATTTATTTGTGTTTCAGGATTATTGCACTGTCCAGCAGATTTATTTTTTGTTTGTTTTAAGACAAATGCATTTCTCCTAATGGATGATTTCTGTGCAACATATTCCAAAGTTCAGGCCTTTCCTTTGAACTATTTCAGTTAAACATACAGTATGCATCTTCCTTTTTTCTTTCTAAACAAACAACTTAAAGGTTTCCCCAGAATATTTTCCCAGTTTTGTTGTTGCTTTGGGCATCTACTGTAAATTGTTCTGCAATTAAATTTTTGAAGAAAAGTCTTGACAATTTTGTCTGAGTTTTGTCCTTCTGTCTTTAAATACTTTGCAAAAGTAAACAAAATATTCATAAACTTTTCTTCATTTTCACATGGTAACCACAGAGTTTTAATCATTTTACTGTGAATTTGTTTGATATGTAAAAAAAAAAAAACTCTAATAGCTCAAGGTTAACGAAATTAGATAGAGACCATCTGTGAAATAATTGCAATAATAGCATTACCCCTTGTTACCAGCTAGATTTAGAACTGGATTCGGCCTTTCTTGTACACATAATCTATGCTCCAGTATACGCCAATCCATTGTCACTGCAAGCTTGGTGCTGCAGGAATATAAGCCACATCCTTAACTTCAACTTTGGCAAAGTCAGCTACTGTAACTGTAAAATTATCTCAGAATCTTATTTCATTAATTTCAATATAAGTTTAGCATATAAAGCTCCAGTGATAAAACCATGTTAACAAAGACTGGAAGACATTTTAGAACATAAGTATATTATTGGTTTAAAAATGAGTGTATGGTACATTTCTATAAATATTCAAAAGTGTATATAGATTCACATATATACATAAAAAAACATGTGTGTATTTTATATGCTACTAATGATTTTGTTCAATAATTTCATGGTATTATGTATTTTATTAACAAATATTTCTGCTATAAACAGAAGCAAGATTTTTTGTTGGTGCCCATGTTAAATGAGTAAATATTATGCTATATTAATTTCCCTTTTACAGTTTAAATTAATCAAATGTGAAGTGTAAAACTATTAATATATAACAGTTAACTACTTAATAACTTCTTTTGATTTTACCACTGTTCTTTTTTAATTTTATAGAGCTTGACCTCTGGTATTTAGAATATTACTGACAAGTAGAGAAAGGTTTAAAGATTTAATGCATCCATACAATGTCTGTTTAAATCATCCGTTATGCATATAAAGATGTACTTAGAAAATTGTTTATATACTGAATATTGTGGTTCTTTTGATCATGATAAAAAAAAAAATGTGGAAATCCTTCTCTATAAACCACAGATCAGAAATGTACAAAGCAACGCTGCCCCCTGCTGGACAAATGTAGCCGGGAGACAGCAGAGACTGGTACAGGTAAAGTAAAATAGTTCCATAAAAGATTAAACTTTTATTGACGCCAATGTTTCCACTAAGTTAGTTTTCCCTTTTATTTCCTCACTTTTTTTTTTTTTTTGAAACGACAGTAGACCGAAATAGCAACGACGTAGTTTCGAGGCGTAACTTCCGGTTTACGGGTCACGTGATTAAATTGGAATCTCATGATGCGAAACTTCCTGTTTTAGCCCCGATTAGAGATCTGCTGTTATTTCGGTGATGTGCTGGCCACTGGTTTAAGGGTAAGTTAAAAAATCCAGAAAATTATCGGTAACAGCAGCTAGGTTGTCTTTACTGACATATTTGTTGCTCTTTGGTCAAACTGGGCGCATAATTAGCCTGACTCATCTTTACAGTTAGCAGGTAAAGTTATGTTTCTCATTTTATAGGTAATTTAGAAATCTTGCAACTTGTCTGGATGTTGGAATAATCCACAATTATGCATGCAGTTAAAGATAAACACAAACAATAAGTGTTAAGATTATTCCAGGCTTTTTACGAAGCTAAATTAAGCATCAGGTCAGTTAGTTGACAGAAAGGACCCCTATAGGTGTGCTGTGGTTAGATCTTTTATAGTATTTACACTTGTCATATCTGAATTTGATTATCTAATGCAATAAAAAATATATTTAACAAATAATTTTTTTAAAGACGAATTTAATGGGGCGGGGAAGGGGGGGGTTGTATTTTATTGCTACTCTAACATAAAAAATAGAATTTTCTAAACAGGCAGTTAGCAATATGAAAGCTGGGCAGAATAATCCTAAACTAATTGCATAAATAAAACACTTTCATTATCTGTGAAACCTTTATTACAGCTCGTATAACTTCAGATAAGACATGTCATGTCTTCATTGTCACATGGTGAGGGAGATCAGGTGTGATTAAACATTTGTTTTTTGTTTTTCTTTTTCCCCTTCTTTGCCTCAGGGAAATTTATATGGTTTATACCAACAAAGTTAAAAAAAAAAAATCTACTGGACTTTGTTTTCCAAGTTTGAAGACGTTTGGCTTCCCATTCGGGAAGCTTTCTCAATTTTAAATGTCTGGGTTAGAGTTACACAAATCATCTCAAGGCACTTTATAGTTCAACTAGATCATGCAGTCAAACTGATTCAGTTTTCTATCTAAGGAAAACCATTTTATTGCATCGACTCATTGACTCGAAGGATATCCCTTATACTAAGCATGCTTGTAGCGACAGTGTAGAGGAAAAACTCCCGTTTAACAGGAAGAAACCTCCAGCAGAAACAGGCCGACTGGGGTTCAAGGAGACAGAAGCAGGGATACAAAAAGCAACTGTAAAAGGTGGCTCCGTCCAGGAAACATACAGCCAGGCAGACGAGCTCTGAGTCAACTTCCATATCAGAGGATGAAGAGAGCACATCCAGCCAGCCGCAGTCAGAGAAACAGGGCTACACTGGAAAAGTTCCAGGCTTATATAGTGGCACAAACAAAAGCCTTGTTATGGCTTAGAAAACATGCAAATTGAACCAAAAATACCAGTTCACTCCTTAGTAATGGGGAGTCGTTGAGCTTGTTTTTAGCCTGCAAAAAGTGATACTGGTCTATGCCTCTGAAACGGAAGTTGTTAGGGTCATTGCTGGCCTGGCTGACGAGGTGAGATGTTTTTGTCTCCTGCATGGCCATGATGTTTGAGACGATATCGGGAAGGAATCAGCTCTGGGTCTCTGGGCAAGACCTTTTACATTCCGATTGCTTCCCGGGCGCTGCACAGTGGCAGCCCATTGCTCCCCAAAGGGGATGGGTTAAATGCAGAGAATTCATTTCTCCATTGTGAGATAGATAAAGTTCAATTTATTTTATTTTTTTTATTTTATTAACTCTATAGCTGCGTTGTAGGTTTATAGTTAGAAAAAAAACAACCTACATCATTTAGACAGGTTAAACTCAGACAAAATTGCTCCACTCTAAATAGATTCTGTAACATATGGTTTATGATTTTTCTGCAAGTAAAAACTAAAAAAGAACAGATAAAAAAAGAACAGATAAAAAAGTGTCTTTTCAGTTCAGTTTCTTTATTACATCTCTGATGCTAACATGACTGGACACTCTATCGGTTTTTAACATTTTTTCATGTATCCTACAGCATGCAGGAGCCAATTCAATCCTCCAGCTGATCCTCTCTGGCTGAAGCTCATCGTCCTTCCATCACCATGTCTGCTGAAGAGCAGACTCCTCCTCTATCCCGACCCAGCCCTGAGTGCTTTTCCTGGGATTATCGTTTCCAGCTCATCGGCCTCGGCTTTGGTTTCTACACAGCTGTATTTGTCCTCTCCCACCTCCTGTCACTGGCTTTGTGCCGTACCTACAATGCTCTCTCAGCCAAGGAGAAGGTCTTCTGGAACTTGGCAGCCACTCGTGCAGCATTCGGCATTCAGAGCACAGTGGCAGGACTTCGGGCTCTGACTGAGGAGTCCGCCCTAAACAATGACAAAGTGAGGGGTCAGGAGGATTGGTCCTGGTTTCACGTCCTCACAGCTACAGGCTTTTTTGTATTTGAAAACGTGGCACTCCACACATCTAGTGTGGTGTTCCGGTCATTCGACCTGCCCTTGGCCACCCATCATTTCTTCGCCCTGTCGGGCTTTGCAGGCGCCGTAGTGTTTGATTCTCAGGGACACTTCCTGGCCATGGTTACTCTCCTACTGGAGATGAGTACGCCTTTTACCTGCATCTCCTGGATGTTGCTGAAGGTAAGGGCCTTATGGTGTCTTCATGTCAAATTAAGCATTTCCCAGAGGATTTCTTTGACATCCTTTTTAATTTATAGTCTAAGCAGGGTTGCGTTTAAGATTCTTACTTTTCAATAGCAAATAATGTTCAGCAGCCCTTTAAATAACCAAAATTCCAAGCAGAGATGGTAGATAAGAAGCTGATTTTGAGGGAAGCGGTGCAGCAGCCAACAGGCTAATTAAACTCATTAATCCAGCATTTGGAGCAGAGACGACTTGAAGATGGAAACATGTCTACTAAAAATATCACGGTAGCAGAGTTAAAGATTTAAAATTCAATTTGTTAAAACGTTATCTATTTGATTTTGATGTAATTCTTTATGATGTTTCATTAGTGCTGGTGAAAATTCTCAGTCATCCAGGTCAGTCATTCCAAAAAAGTTTAAACAAAACAATCCACTGGAGTTTGTGTCCAAGTTTGAAGACGTTTTGCTTCCCATCCAGGAAGCCTTTTCAATTCAAAATGTCAGAATTAGGAGGATCTGTTCATCTGGTTCAATTTGCATGTTTTCTAAGCCATAACAAGTCTTTGTTTTTGGTCCACTCTATAAATCCTCAAACTCAACACTATTTCTGACATTTTCATTTGAAAAAGCTTCCCGGATTGGAAGTGAAACGTGAAAACAAAGTGGATTGTTTTTTAACTTTTTTTAGAATTTTTTATATATATATGCATTTTATGCTATTCTATATTTTTATTTTTCTATTTAAATAAAACTTTTTTTCTCAAAAAAATGTTACGGTCAAATAAACAGCAAAGTACTTGTTTTAGGCGTGTCTGCTGATAATGTTTTACTGTTTATAAACACTATAATAACTTGATATTAGCTGTATAATTAGTCAGGCTTCCTGCTTAGAGCAAACATGCTGCTTAAAGTTGGCCAGATAGTTTGGAAATGCCCGTTTAAGCCAGCTGACCAGCAGTGTGTTGAAACATTTGAGAGATGGCCGCTTCTTACATTTTAGAAAAAAACTGAGTCACTTGCATTTTCTCTCAGAGCTCTTTAAATAGAATAGAAAATCCTTTTTTTGGACTTTAAAGGGTGTTTCTTACCCTCAACATCAGTCTGACTCACTTGTGTGTGCAGCCTTTTTTGGAAGTCACACGGCTAGTTGCTGCTCTTCTGTTGTCACCTCATTTCAAAATGTCTTGCTGTATCACCAAGTCTCATTTCCCATCCGGTCTTCTTTCACATGATTCTAAAAGCATAAAGTTCACCCTCAGAAAAAGGAAGCTCTGGTTATTAAATGTGTGCCGCTGCCTAAACTCTTTCTGTTCCTTTTCATGACGTATTTCTGTTTTCATTGAGGCGATGAGGGTTTAACGGTTGTGTTTTCTTTCTCTCCCCCCTCCTGTGAAAGGCCGGCTGGGCTCGCACTCTCTTCTGGAGAGCCAACCAGTGGGTGATGATCCACATGTTCCACTGCCGCATGGTGCTTACTTATTACATGTGGTGGGTGACGGTGACCCACTGGGATGGGATTAACACCCACGTGGCGCTTTCCCAAAGGCTGATCTTCTTCTCGGGACTCGCTCTGCTCACATTCATCATCAACCCCATCTGGACGCACAAGAAGACCATGCAGCTGCTGAATCCTGTCGACTGGAACTTTGGGAACAAACCGGCGCCGGTTAATGGCACCGTGGGAGATCATTCTGCGGTTTCTACGAAACCTCATGAAAGCTAAAAAGCATTTGAAAGGTCCAACCCTGTCTACCTTTTGCTACTTTTCTTATCCACTTCTTTTAAGTTTAAGATGAACACCTATGGAAACGTGAAGAGCACATTTGGTATGTGGGATATGATGATGTGTTCTCCAGGTCTGGGATGCATCAGGGTTTCTTTTTGGTAGTTGTGTTTCTTCCAGCCTGTTTGGTTTAAAAAGTTGGTTCTTCTTTTTTTTTTTTTTAAACATAGTTGTCTCCTATATGTTGCATTGATGCTGATTGGTATTAATGTTTTTTATTTCTGCATAAAATGCATAACAGGAGTTTTGGTTAACTTGTTTAACTGCAGCAATGTAAGGTTTTAAATTCTCATTTTTAATATCTTCTATTGAACATTTAGAGAATTTAATTTTATTTCTTATACATGCCCGATGCTCTCTGTGTGAGGGAGATGTGAAAATGGACTGTTTCCCCTCTCACTAATGAATTAACTCTGCCCTTATCGCACACATGACATGGCTTTGTGTTTAAATTGAGGAAATTGGCTCATTTATTGGATTCGTTTAAACCTAAGTGGGCAAATTGGTTCGCAGTGGTCTCAGAGTAAAAGTCTTCCCATGTCAGATCGGTCACCAGCATCACTCAGAAAGCATTTCTCCTTCATTGGAGGAAGAAAGCCTCAGTATTGTTTCTTTCACAAAGGCCCTACTGTCTGAAACGGAGATGCAATTTGACTAAAACGGTGTTAAAAACAGAACAAACTGGTTTCATTTTAACCGAGATTTATTTTAAAATTCTTTCATCTGAAGAAGCTGGGGTTTATTTAATAGGTCTTAAACATTTGTTTGCTTTATATTGCTCAGAGTTGCTGAATTGTGTTTTATTTGCTGTATGAATAGTGCCTCAACTGACATGTTTGTTTTTTTTCTTTGGAGGGGGGGTGGGGGTTGCCCAGCATTTACCCAGTTTTATTTTTGCAAATTGAAATTTGGTCTAAAAATATCCTCTAAATCCCACTGCTAGAACTACTTGCTCTGGTTATTGAAATGCCAAAACCATTGCACAACACAGGAAAACATGTAATTACAGCTTTTTTTATTTTTCTAAACTGAATTTAACATTCTGTTTGACTTAGCTCTTACAATCTTGATTACTACTATTTATAACAAATGTAAAAATAAAAGCAATGAAGGTCTCTTGGAGAGTCAAAATTATTAAGTTATTTGTAATCAAGGCTCCAGTCTATGGCACCGCAAATTTAAAATCTATCAAAAGTGTATTTAAATAGTTTTATCTATCATACTAAAAATTGAGCTTTAAATGTCTGACATTGTGTTATTTCTTTAGGAATAACTTGTGGAACTAAAGGAAGCCTTGTGGGTTCAGTTCTGCTTTTTTAACTTTAGCAGCACTGTGTGTTGAACTCTGGGCAATGCAATAATGTTGGGTTTGAAATAAAAAAGGATTTATGATACATATTTGTCTTTGTTGTTATTTTTCTGTTACAGTGAAGCAACTGTGGCTCAAAGCGAAGAATCTTCACTTAGGAATCCCAAAGTCGTAGGTTTAAATCCAGGTTCATCCTGCCCCATGCTGATGTGCCTTTAGGCAAGGCTCTCAATCCCAGCTACCTTCTGATATATGCCTGTAGGGGAATGGGTGTGCAGCTGGAAGAATGCGGCTGTGTTTTTTTAAGTGTCCTGCATATTTTAGATGTTTCTCTGCTTCAACACGCAGATGATTGCACTCCAGCAAAGCCTTCCAATCTGCTAACAATTGACATCAGGTGTGTGAAAGCTGGGAATCATCCAAGACATGCAGGGCAGGTTGCCCTGAGGAACAGGGTTGAAAGCACTGTTGGAGAAGTGGCAGGATCTAGATGCATCTTTACAACTCCAACACTAGGTGGCACTATAGGAGCTATGTAACTACTGTTTATTTAGTTTTAAAACAACTCATCTTTTTTAGGATTTTAAACTATAAACATTAATGTGGCCTGTGGCTCTGCTGTGGTGTCACATAAGGCCAGGTTGCTTTAAAAGGTTTATTATCTTGACTTGCTTCATTCTGTCAATGATGTTCAGGCTGCATGAATTTACAGACCAATCAAGCTCAGTGATCCAAAGGTCATTATAGTAGATATTGCTTCTTTTGGCAGTGTGGGCGGGTCCCAATTCCTGCTAGAAATGTAAGCAATCATTTCCGAAAACCTGTCTGCAGAAACAAGGATCAGGTGCTCATGGTTTGGAGCTGCTGTGACTTTGGAAATGACTAAATACTATAGATCAAGATACCCATCTTTGCATATGGACCTGGTGCCTCTACGCTGGTTTTACAGACTTTGGAACCTTAGTTTCTAAATTAAACAGAATTTTCTTTCATCTCTAAAAAAAGGACTTTGGTCCATTAAGTAAAACAATCTAATTCATTTTCTTTATAGCTGAGATAAAGTTCCTCTGACCTCATCAGTGGTTCTGGAAAGGCTTTATTCCAACAGCTGTAGCTCCTGTTCCTGAAAGAGGTGGGTAGTAACTAGTTACATTTTACTCAGTTATATTTATTGGAGTAACTTTTTGAAAAAAAAAAAAAAAAAAAAGAAAATGTCATTTTAAAAGTGTTTTGACTGCATTGGGCTTTTTACTGGAGTGACCTCACTTATGAAAACAAGTTGGTTTCATACTCAAGTCTTATTGGTTGAATGTTATTTTCCATCTGCTTTGTCAATTAGAGGTTGAGGTAACATAAAAGTATAAAGTATACAGTGTACTATAATTTAACCCTTCTGTAATTGTTGATTTCTAAATTTTTAAATGAAAACATATTTTCAAAAGGCCTATTGGTTATTTTACCTATTTTTTTACAGCGTAATGTACTGTATGTTATGTTATTTATCTTATTCATTGAAACACCAACACTTTCATATCACTAATATTTTGTTCAATGTTTACATCATTTTGTAAAATACTAAATCATGTTATGATAATACATACTAAATAGATCAGTTAGTACTTAATCAGCCTTCTTACAAAGTACTTGTTTACTCACTTGAATCATTTCTTTAAGGGCTTCTTTTACTTGAGTAAAAGGCCCTTGAACCTCCCGCTCCAGTCCACTCAGCTTTGTTTTCAATCATCTCAAGGCTAGAAGAATCAGAGTTAGTTGTGCTGCATTTTGCTGCCACAGTTTTTCATTCAACTCACCTTTCTATCTGCACATATTTTATGATATACTATATAGTATACTTTATGAATGTTACCTCAACTCAACTTTATTTTACCTCAACCTCTAATTCAGTCTGAGTATTTCCAATGTCCTGTTAGAGTGTATTAGACTTAGACAGACTTTGTAATTTTGTACATACAGAGTGCATACAAAAAGAAATTTCGTTCAGTACAGCTCTCAAAACATATTCATTTTTTATAGTGCAGCAGTGATAAATGTAATCATACGAGTGTATATTAGTTACAGTTTCCAACATTTAGGTTTTTTTTTTATAACCCCATTTTATACAACATTTAGCAGTCTGTAATAGTGATGGGAAAGACGCTGATATGGTATATGGCACAACAGTTAAAAAACTTTTTAATAAAAACTTTATGTGCCTAAAGTCATAATAATCTAATTTTGTAAGATGGTGCATATAAATTGAATGTTTTATCTAATGTTAGATTATTCTGAAATTAAATTCCAATGTTGCTGATTTCAAAATGTAAAGAGTTTAAGTAGAAAACGACCATGAAGTGCCAACTTTTAATTCCTTATTTAAAGCATTTTTAAACCTACAGAAGGGGATTAGGGCCGCTGAAAAAAAAAAGTTAACTGATTTTTAAATTTCATTTCAGTTTAATAACGAAAAAAACTCAGAGTTCTGAGAAAAAAGTCAGAATTGTGAGATTAAAGTCTGAATTCTGATATTAACGTCAGAATTTTGATAAAAGGTCAGAATTCTGAGATTAGAGTCAGAATTCTGAGAAAAAAAATCAGAATTCTGAGATTAAAGTCAGAATTCTAAGAAAAAAAAGTCAGAATTTTGAGATTAACGTCAGAATTCTGAGAAAAAAGTCAGAATTCTGAGATTAACGTCAGAATTCTGAGAAAAAAGTCCGAATTCTTAGATTAAGTCAGAATTTTGAGAGAAAAAAGTCAGAATTCTGAGAAAAAAAGTCAGAATTCAGAGGCAAAAGTCAGAATTTTGAAAAAAAAGTCAGAATTCTGAAATTAAACTCAGAATTGTGAGAAAAAACTCAGAATTCTGAATTTAACTTCAGAATTCTGAGATTAAAGTCAGAATTTTGAGAAAAATGTCAGAATTCTGACTTTTTAAAAATTTTAAACAGAAAAAAATATTTATAAATCAGTTCCCTTTTTTCCCTTTTGTTTTTTTCAGTGGCCCTAATCCTCTTCCGTATAAACCTCCTTTAATAAATTACAAAAACAAGTAAAATGCTTTTGGCTTTACATCTTCTGTCCACTGGAGATCTGATGTCAAGTGGGAGCTGCGGGAAAGGGCCTTGGAATGTTGATTGACGTGTCAGCGATCGAATCACGGCTCGCCTCACATCACCCCTCCACCAATCAGCTGCCAGCTGGAGGTAAGGGCATTTCATGGACAGAATCTGCTGCTAACATCGGGAAGAGCCGAAAAGAGGGACGAAAACCGGATGATTTGACACCGAAGCGAGTTGCCAGCCTATAATTTATTCCGTTGAAAACGTTTCTGTATTACCGTGGAGTTAAACGGGAATTGGACAATGGGAAAGCAATAAAGTGGTGAGTTGGAGACATTTTTCTAACTTTCAAATAAAGTTTAAGAAGCCTCTCGTCTCGTACTTGTTGTTTTAGTATTTAACCACAGGTAATAACGGGATTAAAATGTTTATTTAGCTTGAAATAAGTCTCTTAATTCATCTATGGGTGTGCAATATTGGGACATGAATGTAACGTGGCGTTTCAGTTAACATTGTGATGTTGCCAAACTGTCAGCCTACAGCATAATTCAGACCCTCTCCATACATTCTTTAATCAGTCGGTCCTAAACAGCTCCAAAAAATTTGTATTTTATTATTATTATATTATTTATTCTATTATTATGATTTAATATGGAATAACTGGCAAGTTAACTAGAGCTTTGATATGTTACAAATCCGCGAAACTGTTTATCTTAAAAACTTCAGTTGTACTTTAAAGTATGAGCTTAGCCATAAATGTTTCACCTCTTAATCAAATTTATTTATATATTTTAAAAGTTTCTTGTATTAAGTAGGCAGTCTTCCTGAGATGCAGCTCAGCTACAAATTCAAGTAGTCATGCATAGCATTCCTGAGTCAGAGAGCTGCACAGATTTTACCAACTAGAAGTTCACTCTAAAAGCTCACTGTAATGCAGCCCTTTTCTCTTAGCTTAAAACATTTCAGATTTTCTAATCCACCAGGAGATGCTTCAGATACAATTGGTATTATTGCTATTATCTCTTGTCATGCAATGACAAGAGATAATAGCTCATTCTCTCAGCAGGGGTGGAGCTAGATGGGGAGCCAGGGGTGGCCATGGCCACCCTTAGCCAATCATTGGCCACCCCTTTAGCGACCCCTACCATTTTTTTCAGTTCTAATGTTTAAGAAACTAGGTCCTCTGCTAGGTGTAGCAGTGAACAAAAAGACATCCCGCCCCCTCCGCAGACACTCTGCTGCACCTTTCCCAAATTGTAGGTGACCGCAGACAGTGCTGCAGACAGGAGGCCGGCTTGTTTTGTTTGTATGACTGCAATTGTGGAAAACAACTCATGAAGATGGATCTGCTAGAAGAGCGAGATGCGCGAGAATACTGGGACCCTTTTTCCACCTGGATCCCCGCTCTTTTTCGCCCTCATGTCCCTCCGTTGTCGGACAAACTCGCCACGACGCCCTAGACCCACAGATTGTCCCTCTTGCGTTGTGGCGTTGAATATAACATAGCGCAGAACACGCTTCAAAATTGAGCAAATATGAAAAAATGTCTTCGTCAAGCTCACTGCGACGCACTGCTGCGGGGAGTATAAACAGCCCATTGGAACGCAAGCAGCAAGAGCAGCAAAGGCTACGTTCACACTGCAGGCCTTGATGCTCGATTCCGATTTTTTTTGTGAAATTTGATTTTTATTTGGGTTGCCGTTAACATTTCCAAATATATGCGACTTGTATGTGATCTCCTGTGTGAACTGCAGTCAACAATGTAAGTTTCCCGCATGCGCAGTAGAGGACGCAATGACATCACCGCCAGAGTGCTCTGTTTTTACGGAAGTAAACATGGATGGTAGTGTGCTGGTGCGCATCTAGCGATTCTTCCCAACCATAAAAACACAATCTTTTCAAGATGGTTAAACACAAATACTGCTCTCTGCATCATTGTCCGCCATGGTTGTTGTTTTTCTTGCCGCTTCTTCATTGCAAGACCCAGAATAGTGACCTTTGTCGGGTATTAATGGCGTTCAGGTCGGATGAATGCGACCTGGCCGTTCAGACACAGGTCGCATTTGAAAAGATCAGATTCGTATTGGGTTTAGGACTACATAGCCAAGTGGCCTGGGTCACATTGGAAAAAAATCGGATCTGTATTGTTCAGACTGCCATGAGAAGATCAGATACAGGTTGCATATGGGCCAAAAAATCGGATTTGGGTCACTTCAGGCTGCAGTGTGAACGTAGCCTAAAACTCACGTGCTGCTTCATTTTTGAAGCTTGTACAAATTTAGCTAGCTGCGCGGTGGAAAAAGTGAGTCCGATGCGTGTTGGGCGGAGCTACCCTATCCTTTCTTTACCTATAACAATGGCAGCTATATATGTTGTGATCAGTGAGAATAAAGTAGTTTTGATATGTTATTCAATGTGAAACTCCACATTAAAACCTCATCTGTGCAGTCAGTTCATCCAGATTACCATCCTGCCTCCAAATATAAAAAAAAAGTTAGCAAAAAGTTCAATTTTTCCAACTCCAGCAGCTGCTGCATTTGCAGCGAATTCCACGCGTCAGATGCTCAGAATCTCATGATGCGCTGCTCCTGCTGCTCAAAACGTGCTGCAGGACGTTTTGATGCGCGCCAACCATTGACTTTGCATGTAAACTAGCTGCTCCTGCTGCCTCTGCTGCTTTAGGTGTCAACGTAGCATAATACAGATGGTGGCAGCAGTAATACCCTCAGGTGGAATATTCAAAACATTAGAATTTTTTGTGGTTAATTATGCACATCAGTATACTAACATTAAAGATCAGTACATAATTCATGCTCTCTTCAGAACTAGATTTTGTGTTTTATGAGGTAAAGATTAAATGATGTGTCATCTAGGAGTCTTCAGTGAAATCATAGATTAATAAATATTTTAATAAAAATGTATTAAATAATCTATTTATGTAGATATTAGTACTTGTAAATATCAATTTTATGCAGCATGTTTATTGATAAAAGTAGGTAAGTAATGACAATGGAAAAGATGTTCGCCCCAGAACTCAAAACTGAAAACATTTTATCCGCTCTACCTTTTATTAGAAAGCACCAATGTTTAAATATATGCATCCATTTTGTAGGCAAAGGCTGTAGGAAAGTATAGTTTGTCTTTATTTAGAAAATATGGATGTTTTGCTCATTAATTTTTCTGTTGGAACGGTGTAGATTAACCCTGAGGTTCTGGCGCAGGCCTGTCCACTTTCGGCCACCCCTCAGTGTACATTGGTTATTGCCTGGCCACCCTTATAAAGATTTTCTGGCTATGCCTCTGTCTGTCAGGACAATGCTGACTTGGTGAGGGTCACACAGCCGTGCAAGCTCACAAAAGTCCAAGAGGGTGATTTGTTTTGCAAATAAGCAGGGTGGCCTGGCTGCAAGTACTGATGCTGTCTTCAATGAGACCAACAAAAAAAGGGGGACTTTGAAGCAGAGAGAAATTAGCTCAATGTAAAGCTTTTCTATGTACAGTTCTGTAAATGGATTAAATACCTGATGGGGATATTTTTTGCATGGATTACTGCATCAATGTGACTTGGCATGAAGGTGATCGGTCTGTCGTGCGAAGAGAATCAGGCTGTTATAATATTGACAAGGCATTCCCAAAGTCAGTCCTCGAGGGCCGCTGTGCTGTAGGTTTCAGAGGTTTCTCTGCTTCTCCTCAAGTGATTTAAACACTGTTAAAAATGTAACAAATTAAATGTACTTAATATTACTGATTTCCATTTCAGACAAAAAGAAAAAACACTTCCATGTAAAGTGCATTGCAAACACTTATTTTAAAATGTAAAACAAAACATAACAGCTGCTAAAACTTTCTTTAGATCGCTGCAACATTATTGCTGTATGTTTTTAATTAAAAAAAAGAAGAAAAGACTGGATCAGAAAGGTTAGTGACATTCATCCGACATTGGATTCAGCTCATAAATATAAATATTTGAATTTAGATTTAATAAAAACTAGGGCTGAAACAATTAATCGGATAAATCGATTATTGAAATAATCAACTAATTTAGTAAAAGTGCCTTTAGCTGAGAGAGAAACCCACCTTGAGCAGCAATTAGACCAAAATAAAAAAAAAAGTAAACATTTTGCATTTAAGATAAAGACAACCCACTTTTATCTTCTGATATGCTCTATCCAGAACTCCTCAAGTGGAAAAAGATTTATTTTCACCTGGTTTCATTTCATAAGAAATCTTCTTCAAGGAACCTTTTGCTATTATTCAAAAAGAAATAATCAACGGATGAATCGATTTGCAAAACAATTGTTATTTACAGCCCTAATAAAATCCCAGCGGAGCAGCAACAGCAGATGGCATAGCTCCTCATCACTGATTGTCAATAATTGACACAGGACTTCAAACATTTTTTAATTTTTAAGAAAGTTTGTAGCTTCTAGTCTCAGGTAAAAGGCGTTCTGTGTCTTCAGGTTCAGTGGTGGTTTATTACGGAAGGAGAAAGCGTTTCCCATTTTCCCAGACACGTCTATATGTGGTGGCTTCACTGACCTTAACTGCATTCAACTCCATGGAAGCCTGACCCTAACAGCTTATTCAGACTTGCATTAATTTCTGTAATTCTGCAGTTTTAACAGCATATTTTCCTTCAATCAAACCTTCCATCAATGGAGGAACAGCCAGCTTCTTTAGCAAAGACCTTTTTTTGTTAATCCCCGTTGTTGGGGGGTGTCAGGGAGCGTTTTCTTGACATTAATTATACTGTAACATAATATTTTTTTTCTTTAATATCTTTTTTTATTAATCATACATAATGCTGTTTTTTTCTGAGTTTCTAATAGTTGTGAGCCATCATCTCCAAATGAGATGAAATAAAAGCTGCGGTCTGGTTGCCTTAAAGTGTGGTTACTGTAATCTGTAGAGGCAGACATTGGATTGGAGGAATACCCGGCTGGAGACATTTCAAAACTCTTCAGTGTGATGAAGAAATCGGCTCCGCTTGGCAATAACAACTCTAAAATGCTGCTTGCTAACGGTGGCTAGAGTTGGAGGATGCCAGAGGATTCATCAGTTCCTAGACGATGCTTGTCGATCAGTTTTAGAAAGTCTGACTTGCAGTAGATGTCCTCCATCACCCAGTCAGCGATCCACTCAGA